GAAAAAAGGAGGGAGGGAAAGAAGAGAAAAGAAAGAAGGAGGGAGAGAGAGGAGAAGGATAAAGAAAGAGAGAGAAGAAAAAATAAAGAAGAGGGAGAGAGAGGGGGAGGGAGAAAGAGAAGAAAGAAAAGGAGGAAGGGAGAGGGGGAAAGAGAGAGGAGAGAAGAGAAAGGAGGGAAGAAGAGAAGAGAAAGAAGGCAGGAAGAAGAGAGAAGAGAAGAGGAGAGGAGAGGAAGAGAGAGAGAGAAAGAGTGTGAGTGAGTACCGGACCACTTCTAATAAAGCCATTTCAATCTAGACTAAATAATGGGTATCAAGTTATAGGATCGTACTACATCTGGAGCTGGAAAGGACCTCAGATGACATTTAGTAGAGCCCCTTCATTTTGCAGAAGAGGAAACTGAGGCCCAATGTCATACAAATCATAAAGGGCACCAGGGATTCAAACTCAGATCCTTTCACTCCAAACCCAGCACTCTTTCCAATGCACATGCTGACTTCAATTTCTTAAGAACATAAGATTTAAAGCTGTAAGGAAGCTCAGACATCTTCAAGGCCCAATTGAAAGAGCTCCAGATTTAGGGTCAAAGGACCTGGTTTTAAATACAATGTCTGCTACATACTACTCACATAACCTAAGACAAGTCATTTAACCACCTGAGTCTCAGTTTCCCCATCTGTAAAATAAAGGAAATTTGGAGTAGTTGGGCTCTGAGCTCATTTCCAGCTCTGTATCTGTGGTCATCCAATCCTACGTGGAAATGCTTAGGTTCTTTTAAGGATGGACTCTGGCTGAGGCAACACAATGTAACAGGGAAGGCACTGAGCCTAGAGAAGGGCTTGATGGCATGGTGGGAGGCGGGAATGTGGTTTCAATCTTGTCTTGATTGGAGCCCAATCAATGCTTGCTGGTTGATTACTTGATTGATCTGGTCACTCCTTCCTCTTTGGTAGGCTCCATAGAAAGTACTCTCCTTGAAAGCAAGGGCAGTTACCTTTTTTTGTCTTTGGATTCCCAATGCCTAGTTCAGAGCCTGACACATAGTAGATAATTAACAACTGCTTGACTGATTAACTTCTTGACTAGAGGATAAGCTTGAGGAGAGAAGAACATTTCATTCTTTTCTTTATATCTCTAGTTCCTGGCAATACAGTGGGTATTTAATAAATGCTAGCTGATTAATTATAAAATGAAGGAGTTGAACTAAGCCTGGAAGCAAAATCCTTCAGTTGAAATCTCTTCTTTGGGGTGTGATTCTCTCCAGGCACCTGGGTTCTGGGTTTTTTGTATTTGTTTTTGTTTTCCAAACTAGTACAAAAGACCCAGAAAGCATATTAGGCCAGGAAATATGTTAATTAAGCAGGTTTTCTTCCCTGATTTTTTATTCATAACCTGACAATATCAGTGCAAACGTCTGCCAGAGTAATTAATATCTGCTCCCCAGAGGAGGGTTGTATAGGTGGTAGCATCTTTGGAGGCCCTACTCTTATACTTTTTTCTGGTTTTAAAAAAGAAGTAAATAAAAAGTCCAAGAAACACCCCAATTAAAATGTTCCTTGCTTCTCCTACACCCGAGTTTCAATCCTGGATAATTGTGTTCCCAGGCCTTTGAGAGCCCACGGGGGTGTCAGGTACAACCACAGATCATTCCTGTCATCTAAATACCATATGATTAGATTTTTAATAAACCGTTTCGGCAGCATTTCCTGGGCTTGAATAGACCTTTGAATGGGTTTGCTCGGGCCTTTGAAAGAGAGCTGGAGAACATCATTGTGGGGGATGCACTTTCAGTCCCCTTAAAATATTTTGTCAAAAGGTGAGCAGCCCTATGCACCAGTATGGTGCATCGGCGGAGGGGAGGGGAGTAGCTCACGAGCATCACTTACGAGATGGCTCTGGCGGCCGCTCGGTGGGTATCGCTAATAGTTTCCTAAATTGCTTTTGAGTTTAGGGGGCTGGGGCAGACACTGAACACAGGCTCTGAGCTAGAATATTTCCAAATGGGCAATGTTGAGAAAACCTCCCTCGGTTCAGACGTGCCCAGCCCTCACAAGTTGGGAGGGCTTGGGTGCATTTCCGGTGTGGACAGTTTCTTAGGGTCAGAATTCTAGATCTGGAAGGTCAGAAAGGCCATTTAGTCCAGCCCCCTTGGTTTACAAATGAGGTAACCGAGGCCTGGAGAGACCGAGTGATTTGTCCTTGGCTCTGTGCATTTTCTCTGGCTGTCCCCCATGCCCTCGTCTTCTCCAACCACTGACCAACTGGGCTTCCTTCAAGTCCCAACTAAAATCCCACCTTCTCAGGCAGCGTTCCCCAATCCCTCTTAATTCTGGGGCTTCCCGCTTTTAATTATTTCCTATGTGCCCTGTATATAGCTTGCTTTGTATATAGCTGTTGACATGTTGTCTCTTGTGTTAGATTGTAAGCTCCTTGAGGGCAGGGACTATCTTTTGCCTCTTTCTGTATCCTCAGTGCCTAGCACAGTGCCTGGCACGTAGTAGGAGGTTCATAAATGTTGATTGTTCGATTATCCCAAGGTCACACAGGCTATAGGTTACGGAGAGGACATAAACCCAAGTCTTCTGACTCAAGCCAGTGTTCTTGGTGTTATACCAAGAACTACCACCTGGGATAACTGAGGAACTTGGGCTCGGGCTCCATTGAGACCCAGAAGTCATGGTGTCCTTTGCTTGCTGGTCACTCCTGATCAGATGGACTGAGAGGTTCAAATGGGGGAGATAAATACCTTTCATTTCTGAAACACTTCACACGGCCTCTGATACATACTGACTAGGAGACCTCGGACAAGTCACTTAACCTCTCAATCCCTCGGCCAGCTTTCTAGATTACAAATTTCATTTGAGTTATTGTCCTGTATTAGTGGATGGAATTTTCCACACTAGAAGTTTACTCCAGGGACAGACCATCCCCTCCCTTCTCTACACCTTCCCCTCCCCCACCCCACCCCAACAGCATACTTATCATGTGTTAACATTTTATTGTAGTGTTCTACAGGCAGGGAGCTCTGAGGTCAAGGTCTACCTCTGACACTTATTAGCTATGTGACCCTGGGCAAGTCACTTAACCACTTTTGGCCCATAAACAAGTACCTTGATGGGGCTTACATGGCAAGCTATAAAAGGATTTTAATCTGTGTTGGTGAAGAGACCTCCCACGCCAGGTTTCCCTTCCCTCCCCTCCCCCCTCCACACCATGCTGATGAAATCCTGGATCATTGGCATATTGATACCAACTCAGTTGGAGGAAAAGAATGGGCTCAGAACTAGAAGGTACCTTAGAGTCCATCTAGTTCAACCACTCATTTTACAGATGGGGACACTGACTCAAAGAAGGTTGAGTAAGATAAAACCAAGATTCAAACCCAGACCCTCTGGCTCTATGGAAATCCAGCCTTCTTCCTACTGGGTCATCATTCCTTGTTTTCTCTGAAGCAAAAGTGAAGATGATGACTAATACCAGCAAGTATTGTGTTGTATTTATTTATTTTTAGGCAATTGAGGTTAAGTGACTTGCCCAGGGTCACACAGCTAGTAAGTGTCAAGTGTTTGGTCTGAGGCCAGATTTGAACTCAGGTCCTCCTGACCTCAGGGCCGGAGCTCTATTCACTGTGCCACCTACCTGCCCCACCAGTGAGTATTGTAGGGTCATAGATTCAGAGCTCAGAGGGCCCTCAGAGGCTGACCCCCTCATTTTATAGATGAGATTAAGGAATTTGCCCAAGGAAATACAGCTAGTAAGACACGAGGGGTTGGGGAGGGCACCTGGACATATCCACAAAAAACACTGAAGCCCGTGACTTATGAGGCATTTAAACAGAAAAGAAGATGAAAAAACAATATTTTAAATAATAATTTCCACCAGAAGTCAGGTTTTTGCTTCTTTATGGCCATATACTTTTAGAAGGCTGGCAAGATATGTCCTTAATTTTAGCCTAGAGATTTCAAACAGAAGAGTTAATCAGAAGGGCTCAAGGATTCCAAGATTCAGAGTTGAAATGAGGGCTGATCTAGCTTCCCCCATTTAACACATAAGGAAGGTCCAAACTTAGAAGTTTATTGTGAAATTCCCTCTTCTCTTCCATGAGGTGCACTGTAAGAAAGTATCAGAACTGGGGTTAGAACCCACAGCCTCTAACTTTTCTCTCTTCCTTTTCCCCAGAAGGGAGAGTTTCCCCCAGTAGCCTGTGTGGGACTCCTAGGTTGTCTGAGGGTAAGGTCCCCATTTTCTTCCTTCAGGGCAAACAGGTCTTATCTTCATTTGCACCCCAAGCACCATTTGGGGGCAGGGTTGTCGAGGTGGGAGAGAGAAGCATGTATTTCTCCTCTTCAGAGAGTGCCAAGTTCACAAGCCCAACTGTTTCTTAGCATCTCAAGCCCAAATACAGCACCCAGCAGGGGCTGCCTTACTCATATCTATCCGTTGAGAAAGGTTATGAATCTGACAGTTTACCAGAAGCCTTTCTAGTGACTGGGGGGGGGGGAGGGGGGAGGAAGGGGACACCGTGTGGTGGGGGGGTACACTGGGGCTCACACCCTCACAGCTACTTTGGCTGTATTAGACAATCTGCTTGTAGTGGGTGGGTTATTATTATTATTATTATTATTATTATTATTATTACTAATGATTAAAAAATATTCTCACTTCAGAATGCAGAAGGTCATAGCCAAGTCTGGTAACGTGCAACCTTTAGGCCTATAATCTGCTGTTTCTGCTGTGGCCAAGCCAATTTCAAATTAGTCACTGCACAGATGAAGCGATGGGCTTGCTCTTTGGTGATTATGTTATTAACTGCTTCGGTCCTGCCCCACTCACTGATGGGCTGGAGAAGAGACAAATCAGTAAGGAGGGTTAGGGAAAGACTCCTGTACCATAGGCGACCAGAAGAATGGTGGGTTTGCTGGGGGTGGGGGTGGGGGTGGGGGCGGTGTCCTCAAGACAGAGTCACTAAACTGATTGGAGTGCTCTGAGTGAATCTGGCTTCAGGGAGCCTGTGTCCTCTCAGGCTGAGGATGGGCGACGAGGAGGAAGGAATGCATGGTTGTCAAGGCAGAGCATCAATGACTGGGGTAAGTCTGGAGCGGCCAGGGCAGCAGCAAGACGCTTAAAACTTAGTCAGGCCTGCTTTGGAATTTCTTTTTTTAGTAGACTTCTCCCCATGGGTGGTCTACACCAGCAGAAAGCAGCTACTGGGGAGATGGTAAGAGAAAGAGACTTCAAGTCAGAAAGCTCAGTTTGTCGCTCCTGGCTCTTAACCCTATTCTGTCCATTGCAAATTATGTCATTTTTTTTCTGAGCCTCAGTTTCCTCATCTATAAAATGGGATACCTAATGTTTTTAGACCTCAAGGGGCTGTGAAGAAGGAACTTTGTTGAAGCTTCGTGGACCGGAAGGATACAATGGAGAATGTGCTAGCCTTGGAGTTGGGAAAGCTGGATTCCAAATCCCACTTCAGACATCTCCTAACTGTATCACCCCAGGCAAATTATTTAATCTCTCTCAGCCTCAGTGTCCTCATCTGTGAAATGGGGGAGGGTGGGTGGAGTATGTACACTTCTGAGATGCTTTCCACCTCTGATCCTATTTCTCCTAAGAAACTGTAGAAATGTGAACTATTCTATTTTAGCCCTTGACATTTTTATTGTGCCTCCCTGGTACAAGCAGATTTCAAAGGAACATGGATTCAGAGCTAGACAGGACCTTTGGAAACCATGGGGTTCAGTTGCCCTTATTTTACACATGAGGCCAGAAGGGAAATGGAAAATGACTTGTTCCAGATCCCACAGAGCAGGATTCAAACCCAAGTCTTCCTTCTGTGCCGCATGACTATAGCCCTTGTTTCCTTTCAGATAACCCATCATCCCGCATGACCTTTTCGGTCTCAGTTCTCTTGTCTTCACTCTGAGGGGGCCAGGCTAAGGCACTTTCCGCCCAAAAGTCTGCAATCCTCTGATGCTGAGGAGTGCCCTAAGCCTGGTGACAACCCCTGTCTGGAGAGACCCTCAAAGTACTGCCTTTGGTGGCCCTGATTCTCTTCTTCTGAGTGATTCACCCAAGTTGTTCAGACTCTTGGAGTTTCTTTCCAAGGCTTTGACTTGACTGGCTGAAGGTAACACAGGGAGCTTGTCTCGGCTTACAGGGAATGAGAAAACTGAGTATCACTCTTTGCTTTTCCAGTTGATTGGGTTTTGTTCTCCCAGATTATACTGCTGCTTGATTTAGTGAAAGAAGTGTGCCTAATAGTTAGCGCAACGAATGCCTTGTCAGGAGCTTCATATTCCATCTCCTACCTTTGTGTGCCTTTATGTGAGTTACATGCCTGCGTCGTCGTTTGCCTCCACCTCCCCAGCTCTCTTCAAGGTTCAGCACAAATGCTACCTCCTATATGAGGCTTGTCCTGACTCCCCAGGTGATTGTGTTCTCTCAGCCCCTCACAAATGGCTTTGGATTTTACATATGTGTGTATGTGCAAGGAGAGAGAGAGAAAGAGAGAGAGAGAGAAGAAAAGAATGAGAAAAATAATAGAGACAGAGAAAGAATAAGACATAGAAGGAGAGAGAAACAGAAAGAGAAAGAGAATTGGAGGGAGGGTAAGAGATTCATTGCCTCTCCCACACTTCCAGAAACATCTTCAAGGCACTCCAGTTAGAATCTACAAGAGCAGTATCCCAGCCACCCCAAAGAGAGTAACTTGTCCAGTAGAATACAATGAGGGAACTGGATTGGATCCTAGCAATGGGAAGAGAGAAAAATGATAGCTTCTGACAAACCTTTATTGAGTTCTTCCAGGTCCCCAGGGTCCCATTCAGCAAATGCCTCTTCTTATCAGGACAAAGCAGGCCCTCATGCTGTTTTCATAAATTTCTTCAGATGACCAGAAGAAAGAGTCAGCCCCATAGTGACTCTTGAAATGTGAGAAGGGAGTTGCTGTAGGTTGGCATAAAGGTTGGCCCCTTGTTTCCAAATCCTGTGTCTGCTGAGGCATTGAGCAGAGCTACTCATTTCTTTGTTCATTTGTTTCTGATTTTTCTGCCAAGAGGAATGACCTTTAGACTGGAAAAGTCAGAACAAAAATGGCCAGGAGGGAGTAGATACCCAAGATAAGTAAGGAGAGAGTGAGACACACCCAGCTGCCCTCCATGAATGCCAATCACCTGGCCCAGAGGAACTAGATTCTCAGGGACTAGAATAACTGAGAGATGGGACAGCTGAGCCATCATGAATTTATATTTGAAAGACTGTGAAGAATAGAATTGGAGAAAAACAGATATCCCAATTTTCAAAAAAGAGAAGAGAACAGAGTTAGTAAACCATAGGTCAGGGATCTTCATTTCTTTTCTGGAAAAATTCTAGAAAGGATTATTAAAGCATTGTTATTATATGTTAAATATGTAATTTATATATTACACAACATGTAATATGCAACATGTAATAAACGAATTAAAATATATTAAATAATATAATTAGTAGTACATTCTAGAATAGGATTTAGAAGTGATATTATTAAATATATATTACATAAACTTATATACAACATATGATGAATATATCAAATAATATAATTATTAGTATATTCTAGAATAGGACATTAAAGTGATACTATTAAATATATAATTTATATATTACATAAAAGTACATGATATAACACATAACATACAACATGTAATAAATACATTAAAATATATTAAATAATACAATTAGTAGTATATTCCAGAATAGGATATTAAAGTAATATTATTAAATATATAATTTTTATATTACATAAACATATATTATACAACATATAATATACAATATATAATAAATATATCAAATAATATAATTGTTAGTATATTCTAGAATAGGACATAAAAGTATTATCATATATTAAATATATAATTTATACATTATACAAGTATGTAATATACATTATATAATATGTAGCACATTATAATATAAATATATTAAAGCATATTAAATAATATAATTATCAATATATTCCAGAATGGGTTATTAAGGCATTATTATATATTAAATATATAATTTACATATTATGCAAATACATAATATACATTATATAATATGTAGTCTAATAATAAATATATCAAATAATATACTTGTTCATGTATTCTAGGATGTGTTATTAAAGTGTTATTATATATAAATATATAATTTACATATTATATAAGCACATAATATGTAGTATATGATAATATATAATAATAAATATATTTAAATATATTACATAATATAATTATTAGTATACTCTAGAATGGGTTAGTGAACATCCAAAAAGAACAGCATAGAGTCAGCATGGCTTTATCAAAAATGGCTCACACTACCCTTGTTTCTTTTTTTTTGGCAAAGCCAGTAAATTAGTAAATCAGGGCAAAGCTTTAAAATGTTTACAGACTGGTGGCACGGTAGATAGAGTGCTGGATCAGGAATCAGGAAGACCTGAGTTCAAATTCAGTCTCAGATACTTACTAGCTTTGGGTCTCTGGGCAAGTCATTTAACCTCTAGCTGCCTCAATTTCCTCAATTGTAAAATGGACATATTAATGGCACTTACCTCCCAGGGTTGCTGTAAGTATCCAATGAGATAATATCTTTAAAACACTTAGTTTAGTGCCTGGCACATAGTAGGTACTTAGTAAATACCTGTTCCCTTCCCTCCTCCCACTTTTAAAATCTGTGCTTGGCTCTGTACTTTTTAACATTTTTCTCAATGATTTGGACAAAGGCATAGAAGGCATATTTATCAAATGACGCAAACCCAGGAGGCATAACTGACACACCGAACATTAGAGTTGGAATCCAAACGGATTGTTACAGGCTAGGGCATTGGACTGAATCTAATAAGGTGGGATTTAAGAGGGATCAATGTAAAGTCTTACACTTGGGTCTAAGAAATCAACTGCACAAGGGCAATATTGGGGAAGCATGATTCAACAGAAGTCTATCTGATGAGGCTATGGGATCATTGGTGAATACAAGCTCAGTATGAGTCAACAATGGAGCAGCCAAAATGCCAGTGGGATCTTAGACCCTGTTAAGAGAGGCATAACTTCCCAGAACAAGGGGATGATTGTGCTTTTGTGATCAAGCCTTTGTCAAACAATATTGGGAGTGTTATATTCTTCTTGGGGCACCATTTTTTAGGAAGTAAATTGATAATCTAGAGAGTATCCAGAAGGATGGTGATAAGAATGGTGAAGGGCCTCAAGGGGATGCCATATTAGGACTGGTTGAAGGAAGCAGGGATATTGCCAAGAACTAAGACACAAATTATCACCTAGCAGGCAATGCAGTCCATATACATACATCAAATGAATTATAAACAAAAGCAGCCAACATTGAAAGGAAAGGAAGCTTCAGAAGGCTCTTTTCAATCTAGTGTGTTCTTGGGCAAGGGCCTAGTCCCTTCTCTGAACTTTACTTTCCTCTTTTGTAAAATGGAAGAATTGATCTAAATCATCCCTGAGGCCATGATTGAGACAGAGCAAGTCAGCCCCGATGCTAGAAATCTCAGAGCTAGAAGGATATTTGGCCCGATTTTTGGTCCAATATTTGAGGGTATTTGGTCCAATCTCCCACCTAGTGCAGGAATCCCTTGGACAAAGAGTTTAATGACTTGGCTAAAGCCACACAGATAGTAGGTAAGAGAGACAGAAATTGAACACAAGTCTTCTTCTTCCAAATCCAGAGTTCTTTCCATGGTGCCAGCCATGTTACCTCTCTTAGGAGATCTTGACTGACAGGGAGGGAGTTCACTTTTTGATAAAGGAGTCCATCATCTTCCCATCCCCACTGCTGAGTCTCCTAGGATCTATGCAGTCTAATACAATTCTGCTCAGCTCTCAGATCCTTTCAAACTGGTCTACTAACTAAATTTAACTCTCCATCTCCTACTTCTATGTATTTGCCCAAGCTGTCCCCCATTCCTGGAATGCCCTCCCTCCTCATCACTGCTGAGACCCTTGGGGCTAGGTTGGTCTAACAGAATCCAGTTCTCTGGGATTCAGGAAATTCTGGATTGATTGATTCCTTCATTTGCTTCTGGATGCAAGAGCCTCTGTTTTGATCACCA